AACATGGAGGTGCTGGGCTGACACTTGGGCTTGGGGATCTTAAAGGTCTTTTCCAACCTCAACCATTGCACAATTTACACTTGGGTACAAACAGAGAAGCACTGGGGAACTCAAGGCAGGAGCAGACTCGCACTCCTTCACCAACACCTGTGGCAGGAAGCCTTTGTGGTGTCCTGCCCAACCCTCCAAGCTCCAGAAGCAGATTCCCACACCAGTTCCCAGAAAGCAGCCCCAGCAGGAATCCTGTCTGTCCAGGTCTCGGCACAAGAGCACAGGCACAGCAAGTACAACAGAAGGCACAATGCAAGGAGCATTTCTTCCCATGGCAGAGTCAGTTCAGCAGTTTTAGCTCATCTGCTCCCACCTCCACCACTTGATCCCAGTGCCCCAGAGCCCCCCTTTCCCACCGTGACACCGCTCCTTCTGCAGCTGCACCGTAACTAGACCAGGAAGCAGAGCAATGTGAGAAAATCCGATCAGAAGTACAATATCCCCATTCTAGATCAGCTTCTCAATCCCATTCATCTCCCAACCACAAACAACAATTGTGCTGGCACGATTCAGAGCACAGTCCATGGGTGAGAACAGACGGTGAGGAAAAGGGGCTGCTCAGACAGCTCTGCCACCGGAATATTCAAATTACACCCTGGAAAGCTGTGAATTCAAAGTCCTCCCCCTACCCCCAGCACCACACAATCATCTTGCAGCAACACATTCCAGAGTTTTGTTTTGAAAGCCAATAAAGGAGGAAGATTCCAAGGAGGAAAGGATGTCTACAAGGCTGACGCACAAGTTAAGGAACTCTGGTTGAATCCATTTTGGTTAAGTCAGAATGTCCCAAGGGCAGCTGGCAGAGCTGCAAGAGGTGGATGCAGGGATCCATCCCTCACAGAACACTCAGCCATCCACCATGGCACCTTCTAGCAGCTACAAAAAGAAGATAAAAATTGCTACAAAAAGAAGCCAAGTCTGATTTCTATTTCTAAAACCCGCTAGTACTAGTTCTAAAGTTCTAAGCTATTTTTATAAAGCATCTTTTTCATCCCTCTTGGATAATTTAGTCACTGTCTTACTAGAGTTATCCCTGGGATCACAGGAAGAAAAGAGTTCTGGTAGGAAAAAAGAAAAATCACCAAACCCCATGTTTTGTATCACAATTCCAAGCAAACACAACTGGATTACAGTCAGTTCACATTTACACATGAAGAATGTTTGATTTTTGGTTATATGATGTTTTTAGGGCAAACAAACTATTTATCAGACGACTAACATTCTTCTTGTTGCTACCAAATTCCAGGAAGTCTCTCAGCTTTACAGTCACTCCATTGTGGAAAGCAAAATCCGGGACCTGAATAAAAACTTCTAACTGCACTTGCTGCAGTGCAAAAATTCCATTTTATTAGCACAGACACACGTTATTGGGTAACTCAAAGTGCATGTATTAGCTAAATTAATCCCATGTTTAATCAGATTTGGTACCTGACATCTGATGAACTGCTTTAATTACAGGCTTTCACCTCTGCTGTTGCCAACGAAGAGCCAACTTTGCTCTATTTGAATGCTGCAGATGATATTCAACCACAGGACAACCAGCCTCGAGGTTTTAGGTTTTATGCTCCAGTGATTTTTCTACTACATTACTAATCTGTATGCACATTTGGGTTGGTTTATTCCAAAAAGGACAGTGTGTTATGTAAAGACGGGAAAGAAACATACTACAGCCTAAATATTTTCAGCATGAAGTGATGCATATTTTTTTTATAGCTCTGTTAACTTCTTAGCAGGAGATGCCATCCTTCTGCAGTGGTTACAAAGCATTTCTTAATTGATTATACATTATTTAATACTGACTATACATTAAAGGACTAGTTTTGGTCCTTCACACAAGTCAGCTCCTCAGGGTTTGTGGGATGAGGGCCTTGAAATCCACACTTCCCATTTCTTTCACTTTTAACAGCTACAACCAATATATAAAACATTTAGAGATCCTATTGCAGAGGCCTGCAAGCTGAGCAGAGTTTCACTATCATTTTAAGCCAACATAAGCTGCTGAAAGAACTAGTCCCACCTTTCCCTAAGGCCAGTTTCCACATGTCCCTTCCTTGAGTCAGCACAAGCCATTCATGAAGACCCACAGCAAACACAGGACACTCACCCCATTAAAAATCAACATTCTCCTCTCCTTTTCCTTTGGGAAAGAATAAGGGAGAAGCTGAGTTAATTTTAACATGATCAGCTCCCCAGTCCAGCTCCCTGTGGCCACATCAGAGTTGGCGTGAGCAGAGAAACAAGGAAAAGAGGAGCACACAACTGCCTGAGCTGTGCACGTGGGAATTCGTTCTGGCTGGAGCTGCTCGTGGAAACACACCTACAGGGGCAAAAACTGGAACATAAAGTATTTAGATACTCAAAGAAAATATTCCCTGTCCCAAGATACGCATAAATGGAAAGAAATTACTCAAATGAGTTATCAGAGCAGAGTTTACATTATCGACTCAGACTGTGGGGTGAGTTTATATTACCCACTCACACTCACCTGAGGTGGGGAGGCTTTTAGAATTCTGTTTAACTTTTTTTTTAATGAGAATATGAAAACAGAATTCTTAACTGAGATGGCGGTGCAAGCCATAACTTTTAACACATGGTGTGGGGAGAGGCTGATGACATAACTCGGCCTGTCCAGAGAAGGGGAGAAAACACACCAGAAAAAAAAATCACACTACTAAAAACTTCAGTCACTGGGTTTCAAAATGTAACTTCATCTTTTTTATCGGTGCACGCAGACTCTGTCACTTTAACTCCAACAAACCAAATTCTCTTTGTCAATGTCAGAAGCCCCAGCGACTCTGCAGACCACCCCAAGCTGAGCTCCTCTCAGAAGCTCTGTGCTCCCCAGCGCCCATCAGCGATGCCTCCCAAGGCCAGGAGCGCCAGCCACAAGCACCCAGCGTGCACAGGAATGCGATTCAGAGGAGAGGAACTGGCCCCAGTTCAACCTGGGGCTGGATTCCACCCGTGGGGCGGCTGCGCTGCTAAAAGCAGAGCAGTTATAAGAAACTACTCGCTCTAACACACCCTCATCATAAATGCATATTTGTGGTTCTCTCACTGTGTTCAGACCTTTCCCTTTATCTCATCAGTTGTACTTGTACCCTGAGCCAGAGCACTTGTCCATGGGATAAAGTTATCTGTATCTATCTAGGAAAAAAAACAGGTACACTGGATCATGTTCTGATCGGTCAGAGAACCTGTAACACCTTTACCTAAATCCAGCTAAAATCATACTCACAATCACTTCACTGTTCATTCTCAAGAAGTATATTCATTGGTTCTGAAGTTTAAATTGCATCTGAACTTATCATCTCCTTCATCTTTTGTTGTGACAAAATATGAAAAGCAAAACTTGCTTTAAGCTCTTTATAACCATTCTCTGCATTATACACTGGTGTCATGGCATCTTGCTTGGATCAAGCAGCTCATTTCGACCACAACATCCTTCCCTCAACCTCTTCCAGCTCTGAACCCACATCTATGCGCCAGAAGAAAAATACACTCTTGATTAATCAGTTTGAGACTGTTTTCCAACCTGAAACACTCAACCATTCCATTAAATTAAAAAAAAAAATAAAAGATAATTCACAATAAGATTGGGCTGTTCAAAACTTCTGCTCAATTAATATGTCCTTGAAGCAATTTTGTGACTTACATGGAACAGTTTTATTTTCAATGTGTTACAAACTAACAGTGCACACTCCCCAGATTTCCAGTAGTATAGATCATAACTCCAATGGGGTTTATCACTTGTATTCATAATTGAACTATGCTGTTCCAAAATGCTTTTCCTACTGCTGGCATTAGGACTGAAACCAACTGGAATATGTTGTGCTGGGTAACTAGAAAGCCTTGAGCCCCTCTAGTAACATCGTAAAAAAAAACTTACAAGCTACCACTGGTAACTTTAAAGAGAGAGACAATTACTCTGAGCAGTCTGAGAGCTTCCAGTACGTATTTTAATTCATTGAAGTCTTTGTATTTCTTATACCTTCATCTCTTACCAACACACAACTCGAAATTAATGACCATATTAGAGTCTGAAAAAATTAAATCTTTCCTTTAACAACATTAAACAGGTTTAAACCTTTACTTCAGGTTAATAAGAGACTTTCCATTTATTTCATTGTATGGTCCCAAAATTGCTCCCCTCACCAGCTGTACTGTGGGAAAGTATATTCAACAAATTACTAGTAAACTACTAACAGGTACTTCTAGTATCACAAACTAATAGTAGTGGCTTCCAAGTCTTTTAAACACGAAAAAATGAGTTAAAAACTGTAGCACGTAACACCTGTTCTGATGGACTTACCCATGTTCATGTGCACTTGTCAGAGCTCAAATTCGGTATTATGAAGACAGAAATTAATTTAATTCACGTTTAAACCCACTTCACCCCCTGCGGGTCCGACTCCCCACAGACGATGCTGCTTTACCACGGGGATAACGCCCGGAGATGCTCCGCGCTGCCGGCTCGGGACCCAGGACCCTCCGCTTCGCGGGCTCTGCGCCCGTTCTCACCCCAAACCAGGGCATCCCGCCCCAAAAAACCGAGCTTTCATGTGCCACTAAACCGCATTCCCGGGAGACTTTAATGAGCAGCTTTGGGGGCCCCCACAGCCCGCGCTCCCCGTTGTTCCCGCTCCAGGCCGGAGCGTGTCCGTTCCCCCCGGCCCGGCAGGGACCCCGGGCGGGCCGCAGCCCCCCGCCGCCGGCCCCGCCGCCGGAACCTGTCGGGACACATTCTTGCGGCGGCCGCGGCCGGGCCAGGAATGCGGCCGGGGGAGCCGGGGCGGCCCCGCGCGGCCCCGGGGCCCCTCCGGACGCGCATCCCGGGGCGGGGGCGGCGGGCGGGCGATGCCCCGCGGGGCCCGGGGCGGCCCGGAGCGCGGGCCCGGCGGTACCGGCGCTGCCCCCCTGCCCCCCCTCAGCCCGCCGCGGTCACTCACCCTTGGAGTAGAGCGACTTGGGGGACTCGAGGTCGAGGTCGGCGCTGAGCAGAGAGATGAAGTCCGAGGGCATCGCAGCTCCGCGGC